GCTCATAAAACGGAGGAAATGGTCCTGAAAGATATTGTTAATAGAAACGTTATCCCTACAGACAAAAATCAGAGGATACAACTGATGATTTACTATAAAACCAGAAAAACGGCCAGCCTACTCATGAGAAACTCTCCAGACACAAAGCAGAACGCTTTAAAAGAGACTATACGTCCTCTATGCCTTCAAATGCCCTCTCGAGGACTGTAAGCTCCAAAAAACCAAGTATATAGGCAAGACAACAACATCTCTTTCTAGGCGTTTAACGATGCATTAGCAACAGGGCTCCATTAAGGAACATATAATCTCTTGCCACAACCAAACCATCGCCAGAGAAATCCTAGTAAACAACACAGAAATCATCGATAGATACAGCGATAGCAGGCGGCTTGACGTCTGCGAGGCTCTACACATCAAGAAGTCAACACCAGCAATCAACAGCCTATTAATGCACAACTATATTCTACCCACCTCAAGACTCCGCTCCAATATAGAAGCATCAAGAAATATGGATCAATAGGCTTTCTACAAAATCACTTCCATTCAATACCCATTGTTTCGTGTTCTGTCTTGTGTTTAGGAATTTAATACCCTATTAATACCACCTCACCCCATCCACCTCACTCAAATGTAGATATAAACAAATCGAAGATGTGTAAGTGCTATTCAGTTGTGTATGTGTAAGCTAAAGTCTTTGAAAATGTAATAAGTTTTACGAAACGCGCTCAAGTGTCGCGTCAGACTAGAAATAAATATGAATTTTGGAGAATTGATTTTTGAATTACCATCAACAGTGAAAAGAAACGTACGAAAGATCGAGAAAATTCGTGTTAGAATTATTAATCTTACTTTTTCGGTCATATTTAATAATAATATATATATATATATATATATATATATATATATATATATATATATATATATATATATATATATATATATATATATATATATATATATATATATATATATATATATATATATATATATATGTCGTACCTAGTAGCCAGAACGCACTTCTCGGCCTACTATGCAAGGCCCGATTTGCCTAATAAGCCAAGTTTTCCTGAATTAATATATTTTCTCTAATTTTTTTCTTATGAAATGATAAAGCAACCCATTTCATTATGTATGAGGTCAATTTTTTTTATTGGAGTTAAAATTAACGTAGATATATAACCGAACCTAACCAACCCTACCTAACCTAACCTATCTTTATAGGTTAGGTTAGGTTAGGTAACCGAAAAAGTTAGGTTAGGTTAGGTTAGGTAGATTAGGTAGTCGAAAAACAATTAATTCATGAAAACTTGGCTTATTAGGCAAATCGGGCCTTGCATAATAGGCTGAGAAGTGCGTTCTGGCTACTAGGTACGACATATATATATATATATATATATATATATATATATATATATATATATATATATATATATATATATATATATATATATATATATATATATATATATATATATATATATATATATATATATATACTATTAGGTGCGACATATATATATATATATATATATATATATATATATTATACTAAAAGCGGGATCTGGGTACATGGGACTCGATAGCCTGGGAAGGCAGCCATCTAGGTGAAGGAAAACCCTGATTTTAAACCTCCGCTGCCTTGCGGCCATAACCCTTTTTTGGGAAGGCTTCAGGACTCATCCTCGAGGAAAAATCCGGAGTTGGAGCCCCTAAGGAAGTTCGTTGTTGACGTCGACCTCGTTCTGGCAGCTCCTGCGACGTTGCTGGAGCCATGTGTATTGGCATTTGCCTTTCTATTGGATACTTTCAGCAACGTGGAGAGTGGGGACCTGCTGCATAGGTAACAGCTTCTCCTCCATATCTACCTATCCAGGCTTTTCGCCCTGTCAGGGCGCAACTCTATAGTCTTCCGAGACTGAAGGATGCCTACTACTAGTGGGATCAGGTGTCCATACTAATGGATCGAACAATGGGGTCAGGTGTAAACAATGGGTAAAGAGTAAGGCATAAAGGAGAAAAGAAGCTAAGAATCAGGAGGCTAAATAGGGTACACACAAACATTTATCAAGCGTAGTGGGCGCTGTTTGTCGAGCAGTGTCTTCTGTGTTGGCCTCTTGACGTTCTCGTCTTGTTCTTACTCTCATGGTGGGTAGAGTGAATAGTTCCATAACTTGAGTATTTATGGTATGTTGTTCTACTTTTATGTGGATTGCTTCAAGAATTTGTAATCTTCTTACATCTTGGGTTTTGTCTATTATACAAGTGTTTCTTTTCAACATTTCTCTTGTTAGGGTGATGTCATGGGTTTGTCTCATGTGATTTCGGGGGTCACCGGATTGAAGATGACAGGTCAAACGCCTCGTCAGCTTGGTCGATGTCATACCCATGTACTTAGATTAGATTGAAGGTTACATCCTTCGTGGGGGCAAGTGTACATGTATACAACGTTACATGTTGTATATATGTAACGTTGTGTACATGTTGTATACAACGACTGCTGTAAAGGGTTTTCCGTCGGCTTCGGGCTGTTTTTGATAAGGAGATCGGTAGTCTTGTTTGTTTTGTAGAATATGATCAGGTCTATGTTTTGGTTAGGAGTAGTGCTTTTTACTCCTTTACGGATTATTTCTTTCATTATTCTTTCTTCTTTTTTATGTTCACTGTGAATAGTTGATTTGTAATATAATTTTATTGGAGGTGTTGTGGTTTCTGTTCTAGGTTCAAGATTGTACCATCAGTCCAGGTGTCTTCTTATATCAGCGTGTATTACCGTGTTACTATATCCATTGTTCACCAATACCTGAGTTACTCTTTTAAACTCTCTACTCACGTTGCTCCATTCGGAGCAGTGTGTAAGTGTTCGACGAATATAAGCATTGAGAACACTGGTTTTGTATTTTTTGGGGCACTTACTAATACCGTTCAGGCATATTCCTATGTTGGTAGGCTTAGTACATACGCTGGTGCTTAAAGAGGTTCCAGTTTTTGTTATTAATACATCCAAGAATGGCAGACTATTATTTTCACTATTTTCATGTGTAAAGCGGAATACTGACTCTCTCTGTCTAGATGGCTTTTTAGATCAATTAATTCGCCTGAATCTTCTACTATTGCGAATATGTCGTCTACATAACGGCAGTATACAATTGGTTTTTGCCTGCTACTGAAGACTCTGTTTTTGATGGTTCCCATATGAAAATTAGCGAATAACACTCTTAATGAGGAGCCCATTGCTACTCCGTCTATTTGTAGATACATGTCCCCTTGTGGACTGATGAAAGGGGCTTCCTTTATACATGCCTCGAGAAGACTCTTCAAGTGTGGCTGGGGTATGTCTAATTTGGGGGGTGCTCTCGTCTCTGTATACTCTGTCTAGTATCATTCCTATGGTTGTGTCGACTGGGACGTTGGTAAATAGGGATTCGACGTCCAGGGAAGCAATGATTCCATCGGGCTGTGCAGTTTTGATTAATTCTAGAAAATCTGTTGATGATTGTAGACTATAGTTGCTTGGAGTGTATGGAGTTAGGAGTTCGTCAAGTCTTTTTGCCAGGTGATAGGTTGGAGTTGGTATTTGGGCGTAGTGGGTTACCTGGTTTGTATGTCTTAACATTGTCATAGGCATATCCTAAGCCATAGTCGCCTTGGAGTTTAGTGAAATGAACACTACCTTTCTTTGCGTTGATTGCATTAATAGTTTAGTTCACTTTGCGTTTAAGGTCTTCCACAGGGTTCCTCGTGATTCGTTGAAATTTGGTGTCATCACTAAGGATGTCGCTAATTTTGTTCATGTATTCTTGGGTAGGAATCAATACATATGCTGCTGTCTTGTCGGCTTTTCTTATTGTTACGTCTTTCAGATTTTTTAGTTGTTTTGCTGCTTCTTTGAGTCGTGGGGTTAAGATTGTTGATGAATATGTTCTTCGTTTTTTCCCCGCTTCTGTTAGTAGTTCAGCCTGAAGTGTGTCAGTAGTGATGATGTTTTGTTTTCCTCTAACTTGTAGATGTCATCCAGAGGCATTTCGATTTCTAGGCGTTTTTGATGCTTCTTAGGTCATGATATGAATTGACAATTTAGGCCAAGATTCAAGAGGTCTCGTTGGTCCTGGTTAAGATCATGAGTAGTTAGGTTTATGTAGCTATCTTTTGGACGAGGGATCTTTAACTGTCCACCATTGAGGGCTGTCAGCTTTCGGAGTATCCTCGTTTCGACATAAGTTTTTTTTTTGTTTAGGCTTGATAGTTCACTGTTGATGGTTTACTTGAGTTGGTTGGAGATGTCGTACTGGATCCTTTTAATTAACTGATGTTCAGGTTGCTCTGAAAGGGTTTGGAGGGCTTCCTTCTTCGTGTTGAGTTGATGCCGTATGAGATCTTGCCTATATCTAAACTCTGCGTTGCGGACTGCTGGGTCATGTGGGTTTATATTGGTGTATACAAATCCAGCAAACTGATATAAAATATCATTATTGGTTTTGAATATAATCACAGAATTTCTTCCTTAAGGTAATCAAGCCATTTACAGTAAATCGATAGTGCCATGTGTTGTAACGACAAATCTATTGATTGAAAATGAAAATTGTATAGATAACTTGTCTTTATATAATCAAACATGTAAAGTAGTAGAAGTATTAGCAGCAGTTGTAATAATACTATTAGAGACACATGAAGAAGAAGAACTAGTAGCAACGATAGAAGTAGTTGCAGTAGTAGTTAATGTTGTAATAGTAATATAATAAATAATTTTTGTTCCTGGTGTTGTTATACCAGGTGATAGCGATAACGGATATGAATAATATAACAACAGTTGCTCAGATCTGTTTGTTTAGGCTCCGTACTTCCACGTTTCCTTTTACACTCCTTCGATGTGCTGCCTAGAATACTGCCCTGAACCTCTTCCTTACTGTATGAGAGATGAAGCAGCGTGAATTATGTTCCAAAATTGTAACATTTGTTTTTATATTACTATTAAATTATGTGCAATCAACAAGCATACTAACCTCCATTTCCTTGTAGACTTTCTTCACGACGGGGCTTGTGTGCTTGGACAAGTATTCATAGGGCACGCCTTTGAGTATCCATGTCTCGATGCCCCATTTCCAGCCAGGTCGTGTAACCATGTCTTCAAAAGTGTCTAAGGGGTGAGTCTTGCTCTGGATGGTGAGGTGTGCCACCAAGGAGGAGCTGTAGCCTGTTGTAATGACCAGACAGAACACCAACCATCCTCCCACCAGCACCTGTGCAAGTATTTGTAGTGATATCATGGTTCTTTCTGCATGGAACACGCATATTCTTGCAGGATACGTGTGATTCCGCATGTAAGTAGGTTCACTAATGTATTTATAATGTATTTAGTCCTACCTAACTTAACCAAATCCACCTTTATCTAATCCAACCTAGCCTAGCATAGTATAATCCATCAATGCCAAATTACATTTAGTTTTGTAAACTTGAAAAGGAGCTATGTATGTGATGAGTGTGTACATGATGAGTGTGTACGTGATGAGCGTGTACGTGATAAAACTGATAAAACACTGCTTCGTTACTGGTCTCATGAGAACTATGCTCCGAGAGATTACTCTAGTTTTGGAATATGTTCATGATTAAAGTATACTCAGCCAGTAGACTATTGAGGGGGTCTAATTACCTTCCAGAGGTTAATGGCTCTTAAGCCTGCCACAAAACCAAACCAGTCGTCTTACTTTTCCTGAATTGGTGAATGAGATCCTGGGAGGCGGCTGGCCCAGAAGGGCGCCCCATCCGTACATGAAGGAGTCGGTGAAGGTGTCCACACGCCCTCCTGCCACCCACTGCCACGCCCTCCGCAGCAGCCACAGTATGGTGCTCCACACCATCACGCTCACCATCAGCGTCGCCCACAGCTCTCCTGCAGGAGAAATATCGATTAACAATAAAATATTTATTACACACAGAAATTCCAATAACGTGATATATGAAATGAACAAATCCGAAAGGCCCTTGATTGAGGGTTTGAGCCTATGTACAGGGTGATCGGCAGGATCCCCAAGGATCTCCTGTACGGAGAGCTGATGCAGGGAAAGCGTCCAACAGGCAAGCCCCAGCTACGGTACAAAGACGTATGCAAGAGGGACCTGAAAGCCATGGACGTCGATCTAGCTATATGGGAGACACTGGCTGCAGACCGTTCAGCCTGGAGGCAGTCTGTTCAAAGAGGTCTCTCCAAGTTCGAGGAGTCACTTGCCAAGGGATCGGAGGCAAAGAGACAGAGAAGGAAAGCCGGTAGCCAGGAAGACAGACCAGAATCGGACTTCGTTTGTGCTCAGTGTGGGATGGACTGCCACTCTCAGATTGGCCTCATCAGTCACACCAGACGCTGCAACAGGATTGACAACCAGGGCGCAACTCCATAGTCTCCCGAGACTGAAGGATGCCTACTACAGGGTGATCTCCGGTGCGCTCTAGTCATCTGTACCACGACTTGGTGTTGACTATCCTCGAATTTCCCAATGCGGTTCAGTATCAAAGTAAACTCTCGTTACATCTACATATGGATGTATACTGTAAATACCTCTATGTATACCTCTGAGTATACCTCTAGCCACCTAATTGTACTCACCTAATTGTGCTTGCCGGGGTTGAGCTTTGTCTCTTTGGTCCCGCCTCTCAGCTGTCAATCAACTGGACCTCTGTGTATACCGATTAATGTGATAGAGAGAGCAGAGTAAGACTTAACATAAATAATTTATCGGTTGCCAGACTCATTAATATCTCGATGTACATTGTATATATTTAAGTATGCTGAAATACTTGAAGAATATGAACTTTGATAGATTTTCCAATTTATCGGTGAATATACAGAAGGTTACTTTAATCCTGAGCTATGTTTATAACAAAAGTATATATCCTGGCAGTTCAGTAAGTTATCGTGGCTGCCTTAATAACCCTTCCGTGGTTGGTAGGCCTTAGTAACTCTTCCGTGGTTGATAGTCCTAAATAACCCTTCCGTGGTTGGTAGGCCTTAGTAACTCTTCCGTGGTTGGTAGGCCTTAATAACCCTTCCGTGGTTGGTAGGCCTTAGTAACTCTTCCGTGGTTGATAGTCCTAAATAACCCTTCCGTGGTTGGTAGGCCTTAGTAACTCTTCCGTGGTTGATAGTCCTAAATAACCCTTCCGTGGTTGGTAGGCCTTAGTAACTCTTCCGTGGTTGATAGTCCTAAATAACCCTTCCGTGGTTGGTAGGCCTTAGTAACTCTTCCGTGGTTGGTAGACCTTAGTAACTCTTCCGTGGTTGGTAGGCCTTAGTAACTCTTCCGTGGTTGGTAAGCCTTAGTAACTCTTCCGTGGATGGCAGGCCTTAATAATTCTTCCGTGGTTGGTAGGCCTTAATAACCCTTCCGTGGTTGGTAGGCCTTAATAACCCTTCCGTGGTTGGTAGGCCTTAGTAACTCTTCCGTGGTTGGTAGGCCTTAATAACCCTTCCGTGGTTGGTAGGCCTTAGTAACTCTTCCGTGGTTGGTAGGCCTTAATAACCCTTCCGTGGTTGGTAGGCCTTAGTAACTCTTCCGTGGTTGATAGTCCTAAATAACCCTTCCGTGGTTGGTAGGTAACTCTTCCGTGGTTGATAGTCCTAAATAACCCTTCCGTGGTTGGTAGGCCTTAGTAACTCTTCCGTGGTTGGTAGGCCTTAATAACCCTTCCGTGGTTGGTAGGCCTTAGTAACTCTTCCGTGGTTGGTAGGCCTTAGTAACTCTTCCGTGGTTGGTAGGCCTTAATAACTCAGTGAGAGGTAAATCTCAAGGTGAAAGTTCTCTGAGGAAGAATAAATCAACAGGAATAACACATCAGTACCTTACTGAGGTACTACATGCTAGTACCTTACTGAGGTACTACATGCTAGTACCTTACTGAGGTACTAAATGCTAGTACCTTACTGAGGTACTAAATGCTAGTACCTTACTGAGGTACTAAATGCTAGTACCTTACTGAGGTACTAAATGCTAGTACCTTACTGAGGTACTAAATGCTAGTACCTTACTGAGGTACTAAATGCTAGTACCTTACTGAGGTACTAAATGCTATGTACTTAACTGAGGTACGTACAACTAGTACCTTATTGAGGTACTAAACTAGTAACTCACTGAGGATTACATCCTAGTACCTTACTGATGTACTACATGCTGGAACATTTCCGTCAGATTCGGTAAAGATATTGAGAACCCACCAACCTGTAAATGGATCATCTTGAGAACCTACCAACCTGTAAATGGATCATCTTGAGAACCCACCAACCTGTAAATGAATCATCTTCAGAACATACCAACCTGTAAATGGATCATCTTGAGAACCACCAACCTGTAAATGAATCATCTTGAGAACCCACCAACCTGTAAATGGATCATCTTGAGAACCCACCAACCTGTAAATGGATCATCTTGTGAACCCACCAACCTGCAAATGGATCATCTTGAGAACCTACCAACCTGTAAATGGTCGTACGAAGGACAGGTATTCAGGAAGCAGCGCGGGCTTGAGGGATATTAAAGTCAGAATATCGGAGTCATAGGCTCTGGCGAGCTGCATGACGGTGAGGCGCTGTGTGGTCATGGACGCCATGGTGCAGAAGTCGGCGTCTTCCCGCTGCAGCTGACCCATCATCCCGTTGAACCTCCCTCCGTCCTCTCGGCCCCACGCCCTTTCCGCCCCCACTCTCGTCTCGTAGCTACGTCAAAGTAACATACAGTGAGCTGCAGGCAATGCCATGAATAGTTTTATATTTATATTAAACATAAAACTGCTGAGTTTTTTCTCGAGTGTTTGTTTAATGATTACTTTAACATGATTGCTGTGCATGTTATGCAGTTGATAAGTATTCTCCATAAGAAAGGTGCATTTAAAAGACATTCTCTGTTTAAACCCTCATTAAATCTACAATGGTGTAATAATTTATTGTGACTGTGTATATGACTGCAATGTTAATTAACTAATGCATTACCATTTCATTATATGTATATACACTGGTATATAAGGTGCATTACTATTGCTCCATATATATATACACTGGTATATAAGAGGCGCATCACAGCGTAGTTATAATAAATCAATTTGTGGATCCCCAACCGTGGACACATTTCACAGTGTGCTGTTACTCTGCACCTATACATAAGTATCAAGGACACTCAAGTAGAAGCTCTGTAAACAAAGATACAGATGTGATTGTAAAAGTAATGCAACGACTCCTGGTTCAACCTTGACGACAAGCGGACGTCTGGACACCTCCGACTGGGAGTCAACGGTTCACGTCATGTTTTCGCGTTTTGGCTTTGCTACTGCCGTTTGGCATCCCTATTCAACGGTCCGGTTGTACGACGCCTGGCGCACATATCGCCTTGGGTCACGGGATTTTTGATAGATTTTTTTGACGTGTTCTGGCTGGTTCTCCCGGCGGGGTGAGGTGTTCGGGGGCCGGCTTGGCCTAGAGGCACCGGGGGTTGGTGGGTCTTAGTGGGCTCCTGGCACTCAGCCATGGTGGGCGGCTGGCTTCTGCTCTGCCGGAGGACACTGGATGACTTTTGCGTTTTAGTTGGGAGCCGAATTTTGGTTTTGCTACCCAGTGTTCTCTGTGTGGGGCGGGGCTGGTGCTTGTCACCCTGAGGAACTCCTGGGGCTCCCCAATCATCTGCCTGTCTGCGTTTGCTTGCCGCATGGCATAATAGTTTCCAGTGATTGGCGTCACTAGTTTCGCGATTAGGCTTGGTGCTTCACTTTTCCAGGCTACGCGATTAATCGATCACGGGTATGCCGGGGCGCATCCGATCCCAGGATCGTCATCGCCCCGAAATCAACAACATAAGTAATGCAACCTGCTCTCAGGCTAGTCTCGTTAATGTAGCGGACTTTTTGCTCGATGGTACCCATGTAGAAGTTCGCAAACAGGACACCTAGGGGAAAACCCATGGCGACCCCATCTACTTACTCATACAAGTGCCCATCCGGGCTCAAGAAGGGTGCCTCTTTAGTACAAGCTTGGAGTAATTTCCTTAGAATGATGTTCTGTTTGCGAACTTCTACATGGGTACCATCGAGCAAAAAGTCTTAGTCGACATGAACTTGAAACCCGCCATATACTGCAGGTATGTTGACGACATTTTTACACAGGTACCTGATGTCAGACATCTGCAGGAGCTGAAGGAGGCATTTGAGCAGAATTCTGTGTTGCGTTTCACTTACGAGATGGAGAAGGATGGGAAGCTGCCCTTTCTAGATGTAACAGTCATGGAAAGGAGCGGAGGTTTCCACACTGCAGTCTACACTAAGGAAACAAACATAGGAATGTGCCTAAATGCCAACAGTGACTGCCCAGATAGGTACAAGAGGAGTATTGTTAACGCTTATGTCGACCGTGCTCTCAGCCACAGCTTAGAATGGAAGCACGTCGACGAAGAACTCTGTAGGGTAAGGCAGGTCCTAGTCAACAACGGCTTCTCCAATGGTTTCATTGAAGACATCATAAGAAGGAAAGTGAAACGCCATGCAACCTCTGAGGAGATAACTAACACAACACCTCTACCCCCTATTAGGCTATTTTACAGGAACTTCTTTTCCACAGCTCATAAAACGGAGGAAAGGGTCCTGAAAGATATTGTTAATAGAAACGTTATCCCTACAGACAAAAATCAGAAGATACAACTGACGATTTACTATACAACCAAGAAAACGGCCAGCCTACTCATGAGAAACTCTCCAGACACAAAGCAGAACGCTTTAAAAGAGACCAACGTCGTCTATGCCTTCAAATGCCCTCTTGGGGACTGTAAGCCTCAAAAAAACTCAGTATATAAGCAAGACAACAACATCTCTTTCCAGGCGTTTAACGATGCATAAGCAACAGGGCTCCATTAAGGATCATATAATCTCTTCCCACAACCAAACCATCACCAGAAAAATCTTAGCAAACAACACTGAAATCATCGACAGATACAGCGATAGCAGGCGGCTTGACATCTGTGAGGCATTACAGATCAAGAAGTCAACACCAGCAATCAACAGCCAATTAATGCACAACTATATTCTACCCACTTCAAGACTCCGCTCCAATATAGAAGCATCAAGAAATATGGGCCAATAGGCCCTCTGCAATTACTTCCATTCTTACCTTCAATACCCATTGTTTCGTGTTCTGGCTTGTGTTAAAAGTTTGTTTTCACCTCATCCAAAACTGTTGTAACATATCACCTCACCCAAATGCAGGTATAAAAAATCGAAGATGTTTAAGCTCTATTCAGTTATAAGTTGTGTGTGTGTGTAAACTAAAGTCTTTGAAAATGTAATAAGTTTTACGAAACGCGCTCAAGTGTCGCGTCAGACTAGAAATAAAAATGAATTTTGGAGCATTGATTTTTCATTTACCATCAACAGTGAAAAGAAACATAAGAAAGATCGAGAAAATTCGTGTTAGAATTATTAATCTTACTTTTTCGTTCATATTTAATAATATATGTCTACAGGAAAGACTGCTCCCAATATATATGTATATATATATATATATATATATATATATATATATATATATATATATATATATATATATATATATATATATATATATATATATATATATATATATATATATATATATATATATATATATATATATATATATATATATATATATATATATATATATATATATATATATACTATATATATATATATATATATATATATATATATATATATATATATATATATATATTATATATATAACATATATATAAATATAATATATTTATATATATATTATATCTTACTTATTTCGGTCATATATAATAATATATGTCTACAGGAAAGACTGCTACCTAAAATATACTAATATATATATATATATATATATATATATATATATATATATATATATATATATATATATATATATATCTATATATATATATATATATATATTTATATATATATATATATATAATCGGCCTATTGTAGGCTATATATATATATATATATATATATATATATATATATATATATATATATATATATATATATATAAATGAATTTTGGAGAATTGATTTTTGATTTACCTCCAACAGTGAAAAGAAATGTACGAAAGATTGAGAAAATTCGTGTTTGAATTATTAATCTTACTTTTTCGGTCATATTTAATAATATATGTCTACAGGAAAGACTGCTACCAAAATATACTAATATATATATATATATATATATATATATATATATATATATATATATATATATATATATATATATATATATATATATATATATATATATATATATATATATATATATATATATATATATACTATATATATATATATACTATATATATATATATATATATATATTAGTATATTTTGGTAGCAGTCTTTCCTGTAGACATATATTATTAAATATGACCGAAAAAGTAAGATTAATAATTCAAACACGAATTTTCTCAATCTTTCGTACATTTCTTTTCACTGTTGGAGGTAAATCAAAAATCAATTCTCCAAAATTCATTTTTATTTCTAGTCTGACGCGACACGAGCGCGTTTCGTAAAACTTTATACATTTTCAAAGACTTTAGTTCACAAATACACAACTGAATAGAACTTTCGCATCTCCGATTTTATATCTACATTTGAGTGAGGTGGAAGGGGTGATGTGGCATTAACACAAGACAGAACAAGAGGTGGCATTAATAGGGTATTAATTTCATCAACACAAGACAGAACAAGAGGTGGTATTAATAGGGTATTAATTTCATCAACACAAGACAACACGAAAAAATGGGTATTGAATAGAAGTGTTTGTAGAAAGCCTATTGGTCCATATTTCTTGATGCTTCTATATTGGAGCGGAGTCTTGACGTGGGTAGAATATAGTTGTGCATTAATTGGCTGTTGATTGCTGGTGTTGACTTCTTGATGTGTAGTGCCTCGCAAACGTCAAGCCGCCTGCTATCGCTGTATCTATCGATGATTTCTGTGTTGTTTACTAGGATTTCTCTGGCGATGGTTTGGTTGTGGGAAGAGATTATATGTTCCTTAATGGAGCCCTGTTGCTTATGCATCGTTAAACGCCTAGAAAGAGATGTTGTTGTCTTGCCTATATACTGGTTTTTTTGGAGTTTACAGTCCCCAAGAGGGCATTTGAAGGCATAGACGACGTAAGTCTCTTTTAAACCGTTCTGTTTTGTGTCTGGAGAGTTTCTCATGAGTAGGCAGGCCGTTTTTCTGGTTTTATAGTAAATCGTCAGTTGTATCCTCTGATTTCTGTCTGTAGGGATAACGTTTCTATTAACAATATCTTTGAGGACCCTTTCCTCCGTTTTATGAGCTGTGGAAAAGAAGTTCCTGTAAAATAGTCTAATAGGGGGTATAGGTGTTGTGTTAGTTGTCTCTTCAGAGGTTGCATGGCGTTTCACTTTCCTTCTTATGATGTCTTCGACGAAACCATTGGAGAAGCCGTTGTTGACTAGGACCTGCCTTACCCTACAGAGTTCTTCATCGACTTGCTTCCATTCTGAGCTGTTGCTGAGAGCACGGTCGACATATGCGTTAACAACACTCCTCTGTACCTGTCTGGGCAGTCGCTGTTGGCATTTAGGCACATTCCTATGTTCGTTTCCTTAGTGTAGACTGCAGTGTGGAAACCTCCGCTCTTTTCCATGACTGTTACATCTAGAAAGGGCAGCTTCCCATCCTTATCCATCTCGTAAGTGAAACGCAACACGGAACTCTGCTCAAATGCCTCCTTCAGCTCCTGCAGATGTCTGACATCAGGTACCTGTGTAAAAATGTCGTCAACATACCTGCAGTATATGGCCGGTTTCAAGTTCATGTCGACTAAGACTTTTTGCTCGATGGTACCCATGTAGAAGTTTGCAAACAGGACACCTAGGGGAGAACCCATGGCGACCCCATCCATGTGCCCATCCGGGCTCAAGAAGGGTGCCTCTTTAGTACAAGCTTGGAGTAGTTTCCTCAGAATATTTTCTGGTATGTCAAGAGGAGTACAGGCTGGATCACGATACACTCTGTCGGCTATCATCCCGATTGTCTCGTCCACAGGTACGGTGGTAAACAGCGATTCTACGTCCAATGAGGCTCTTATCCCTGTGGCCCGTGTGCCCCGCAGTAAGTCAACAAATTCCTTTGGAGACTTCAGGCTGAAGGCGCAAGGAACATAAGGAGTCAGCAGGCCGTTGAGTCGCTTCGCCAGTCTGTACGTGGGTGTGGGTATCTGGCTAATGATTGGCCGAAGTGGGTTTCCAGGCTTGTGTGTCTTGACATTTCCATACGCATATCCGGGTTTATATTCCCCAATGATCTTTGGCAGGTGGAGTCCGGATTTCTTGGCGTTCACAGTTTCGATCAGTTTGTTGACCTTTGCTTTTAATTCGGCTGTAGTGTCCTTCGTTACCCTTTGGAACTTAGTTTGGTCAGAGAGTATGATGTTCATTTTCGCCAGATATTCGTCTTTTTTAAGAATGACATATATTGGCGACTTGTCACCTCTCCTGACAAGTATCTCCTTGTTCTCAGGAAGGCTTTTAGCTGCCGCTTTGAGCTCGGGGGACAGTATGGTGCTTCTGTAATTGCCTCGATTCTTTCCTCCTTCTGCAATAAGTTCTGCTTGTAAGGTATCTTTGGTAGTGACCTTCTTTTGTGTCTCGAGGTCGAATATGTCGTCCAACAAGCGTACTAGTTATGGCAGCTACTGGAAGGTAGTTGTGCTTTCTGGGTTCGAGTCCCACTGGTGGGTGTTGTCCAAAGATTGTTAATCTTCACTTGTGGTTTATGCCAGTATAGGCTTATAGCTGGACACAAGTTCTCTCACATTGACAGTGGCTTGACGAAAAACGCAGACTAACCTCACACTTGTCTGGTGCCCTCGGGAAGTGGAGATATTTGAGATGTATATATATCTCGAAGTCTCTACTTCTTTTGTAGGGTCTGATGGTGTAGTGGGTTAAAGCGTACTAGTTATGGCAGCTACTGGAAGGTAGTTGTGCTTTCTGGGTTTGAGTCCCACTGGTGGGTGTTGTCCAAAGATTGTTAATCTTCACTTGTGGTTTATGCAAGTATAGGCTTATAGCTGGACACGAGTTCTCTCACATTGACAGTGGCTTGACGAAAAATGCAGACTAACCTCACACTTGTCTGGTGCCCTCGGGAAGTGGAGATATTTGAGATGCATATATATCTCGAAGTCTCTACTTCTTTTGTAGGGTCTGATGGTGTAGTGGGTTAAAGAGTACTAGTTATGGCAGCTACTGGAAGGTAGTTGTGCTTTCTGGGTTCGAGTCCCACTGGTGGGTGTTGTCCAAAGATTGTATATATATATATATATATATATATATATATATATATATATATATATATATATATATATATATATATATATATATATATATAGGGTTGGTTAGGGTTGGTTAGGTTCGGTCATATATCTACTATAATTTTAACTCCAATAAAAAAAATTAACCTCATACATAATGAAATGGGTAGCTTTATCATTTCATAAGAAAAAAAATAGAGAAAATATAATATTTCAGGAAAACTTGGCTTATTAGGCAAATCGGGCCTTGCATAGTAGGCCGAGAAGGGAGTTCTGGCTACTAGGTACGACATATATATATATATATATATATATATATATATATATATATATATATATATATATATATATATATATATATATATATATAAATATATATGTGTGTGCGTAATACTTTCTTATATGTGTGGGGTAACTTTGCGTGAGTCAAGTGTCTGAATCATTAAAGGCAAATGCCATCAATTATTGTTTTATGATAAAGGAATATTTCTGAAAAAAATGACATAAAAGATGTTCAGTGAACACATGAACCATTCTCAGGCCAAGGAGGAGCAAGAGGCAACAGTTCTTACGTGAAGTTCAATTTGGGAGAGAAAGTGTCCAGTAGGCGGGCGTCCAATGAGTCGACCAGGGTTATCGTGTCTCCCGACACATTAGTATCCTGGTAGTCTACGTAAGGGAAGTACGGTACCGACACTACATGGAAGTTGTGACCCATGAAATCCTTGAACTGGTCTGTGAGATAAAGAAATTGTCACTGTCATTCACTCTTCTTTGGATATTTGAAACCTCTAGAGCAATTCTGTGGATTGATCACATGGCTAAGTGTAGCCAGTCGGAGGAGACCCTTACCATCCCTCATATAGTTTTGTAGTACAAATACTGCCGTCTGAATTAACCAGAATGATGTTGATGTGGGCTCTTTGGCGAAAATCTCATCTTCAGAGAGATAACTGCATAGACAACAGTACCTAAACTGTAGCTTAATATAGAGATTATTTACATAATAACAGACCTCATACTAATCCCTGTTTTTTCACCAATATACTGAACCTAGGCTTTACTCATGCAGGAAGCTCCTGTAGTTTTGTAACACTAACTGATGCTGTGTCAAGCTATATGAAGCTGTGTAAAGCAATCTGAAGCTGTGTAAAGCTATCTGAAACTGTGTAAAGCTATATGAAGCTGTGTAAAGCTATCTGTAGCAGTTTAAAGCTATCTGAAACTGTGTAAAGCTATTTGAAGCTGTGTAAAGCTATCTGAAGCTGTGTAAAGGTATATGAAGCTGTGTAAAGCTATATGAAGCTGCGTAAAGCTATATGAAGCTGTGTAAAGCTATATGAAGCTGTGTAAAGCTATAGGAAACTGTAAAGCTATCTGAAGCTGTGTAAAGCTATCTGAAGCTGTGTAAACTGTATGGAGCTGTGTAACACTATCTGAAGCTGTGTGAAGGAATTTGAAGCTGTGGTAAGCAATCTGCAAGCTGTGTCAAACTATCTAAAGCTATGTGAACCTATATGAAGCTGTGTCAAACTATCTAAAGCTATGTGAACCTATATGAAGCTGTGTAAAGCTATCTGAAGCTGTGTAAAGCTATCTGAAGCTGTGTAAAGTTATATGAAGCTGTGTAAAGCTATCTGAAGCTGTGTAAAGCTATCTTAATCAGTGAAAAGTTATATGAAGCTGTGTAAAGCTGTCTGAAGCTGTGCGAAGCAATTTGAAGTTGTGTGTGAAGATACCCCTATGCGATGTGAATCTAGACGAAATTGTGTGAAGCTACAGGAAGTTGGATGGAGCTTTAGGAAAACTGTGTGAATCTACGTGAAGCTCTGTGAAGCGTCATGAATGTATGTGAATCTACATGAAGCTGTGTGAAGCTACATGAAGCTGTGTGAAGTCACATGAAGCTGTGTGAAGCGTCATGAATGTATGTGAATCTACATGAAGCTGTGTGAAGCTACATGAAGCTGTGTGAAGTCACATGAAGCTGGGGGAAGGTACAGGAAACTGTGGGAAGCTACGTTTAGGTCTGTGAAAAATAAATATGCAAATAAAGTTGCATCACTGGCTCTCAGAAATTCATGATGTACTGTATTTGAGGAAACACTTGCCCGGGAAAAGACCGTTAAGTTGTGGAGTACTGGAGATGATGTCCAAGTCTTGGGTCACCAGCTGGACGTCCGCCTCCCCGTTGCCGCAGTACAGACACCGACGGTACACCTGGACACCGTCGCTCGCTGGCGCTGTCCGGTGGTATTAAAGGAAACGGTATTGGAGGATCTTTGACCAAGTCGGCACATGTTAGGTAGAAGATGTGGATTCAGCGTCCATACAACTTTGCTCATCCATGTCTTGCCCACTGCGGGTCTTCAACTTCGATAGTTTTCTTGTTGTTCGAGCACACACAAATATTCACAAAAACAACAAAAAATATATAATAAATGCAAGTATATATTTACTTCACGTGTTTGTATTGTAAATTTGTATGTTCTCTGAAAACTATTTACATTTTTTTGTTTAATTAATTAATGATTTTTGTTATACAGGGGCAGACGACTTTGGTTGACTTAATTAGGAAGTAGTTTTATCATATCATAGTGTATATGTCCCACTTAAGTACAACTTAAGAAAATAAAAAAAAATTTCCATATAAACACTTTGTCACAACGTACAGAAACCTTAATTAACATAATTTACTCGCATTAGCATTCGAAAGCTAGTAGTTAACTTATAAATAATTTAACTTAGAAATATGGCTAATTTTAGGGTAACCAATCTAGACTGGAAGTTATTTTGATAATTTGCAGTCATTTTGACTCCCTAATCTATGAAGGCTTCTGGCCGCCACGTCCACTCACCTGGACTGGACGGTAGAGTGACGGTCTCCCTTCTTGCAGGACGGCGTTCAATCACCGACCGTCTAATTGGTTGGGCACAATTCCTGTCATCTGTTCTATCCCAAATCCTTATTCTCATATCCCTTCCAAGTGCTGTACAACTGAAATGGCTAGTGTTTTCTCCTGATAGTTCTGGAGAACTATCAGGAGAGAAGCCCTTCCCTTATGGCCGCCATCTTCTCATGGGAAGCAAGTGGGATAATGACGACTATGATATAAAAGAGTAGGATGACCATGACTAAAATGACAGACACGAGATACGAGTTACATAACCATGGCTATGATGACAACCATGAGGTGTATATAGTAGGCATCCATCAATCTCGTGGGGTTATGGAGTTGTGCCCTGGGTGTCTGGTTGGGTACAACGTCGGTTGTGCCTGTGAAGTCCAACCCGAGAATGGTAGACCCAACCCCATCGAGTGCAGATAAACGCCGAAGGGGTTGCGACTGTCAGTGGTCGAGAGTTCCTCCGAAGTCTCTTTTTCCTCGTTTGCCTCATCCGTTCGCCCTCGAATTCCTGGAGTCCTTTCCATAATTTGCCTCTCTAGGCTAATCTGTCCGCAATCTGGTGCCTCCCAAGTGTTAATGTCGATGTTCAGCGGTTTGAGGTCGCGTTTGCAGGCGTCCTTGAGACGCAGCTGGGGTGTTCCGGTGGGCCTCTTGTCTGATGCCAGTTTTCCAGATAAGAGGTCCTTCGGTGTGCGGCCACCTTCCTTGCGTATTACATGTCCCAGCCATCGCATGCGTCTCTGCTTCAGGAGAGTGAACATTGAAGGGACTCCTATTCTCTCGCGCACTGGGTTATTGGTGACGTGGTCTCTCTTTTCTCGTGGTAGAAAATTTTCTCCAGTTCCTGTCTCAAATTTCTTCACAAAAGAGTGAATTATTGCGCAACAATCCTTGTGGTGTCTCCATTGGTCTTCCAGGGTGCGTTCTCCTCCTTGCCTGATATTTGGAACACTCCATCTTAAAAATTGTTGACAAATTCGGCAAATTGTGCCACATTACAGAGTATGTTTCCATACGTTCCGTCACCCCCTGCCACCAGCGTTGTCTTATACTACAACGTTGGGCTAGTTACCCAATTCACTGAGCTTTGAGATATTGTCCAGGAGACCTTGATAGTCTGCTCATACATTTTTTGATTGGTTGCGTAATTTCATAGATAATACCGGACCTATGACTGTTTAATTTGTATCAAACTTAAAATACAAGTTCCAGTCCCATGCTTCCGTATTGGTTAGTATAATTCAACTATACCCTCACTGTAATGAATAATGTAACCTGAAAATTCCACTTCAAAAATAATTCATTATAATATTTGGATTTAATGAATTCAAATGTTAAAGTATACTCCAGGACAAGTTTGGTGCATAATGCTATTATTATATTTTCCCCAACTTGAGGGGGAAGGGGAAGGGGTGTAGCCGGCGGTGCACAGATCGATCTCAAGAGGATGCACAACTTGAGAGTTGGTAGCCTTCCCCCAAGAATGCAAATCTGTCTTCAGAACATTCGTTTTGCATTCTAAAATATTATAAACAGATAATGAAACTCTATTGACTCAGTGCCAAGCATTTCATACTCACAGACTTCATACGGGTCGCAATGGAGGCCAACTTTCTTAAAGAGAGGGGGCCAATGGCGACCTCTACCCCTCATTTGTCACCCTGCAGAGTTTGGAGAGGTAGCCTCCAACTTTAGACATACAGACGTACAAAACAGATCTTGGAAATCACTTTTAGGTATTATTGTGAATAGCCTCCTATTACAAAACTAATATTAGAAATGAGTTTCCCAACTCCAAGCTAGTAGACATTGATATACCACACAAGTTCGTAGCTCAACCCCGTTCACAGATTGCAAAGTATTCAGATATTCAGAATGATCATAATTGGCCTCTTTTTTTTTTGGGGGGGGGGGGGATTTGATGGTTAAAATGACCATCGTCATAATAACTTCTGAAATAAATTACTAACCCTTAAATTAGTCATGTTACCAGGATAAATAGCTTAAAAGTTAACGCTGTCATCTTTAGGTTGCTAATTAGGAACATTTATGCTTAATAATGGGTTGTGTGCATATATAAAGTAACCAAACCTACACACATGACTATGACGTGTTGTTCAGGACCATTTTTAAGTCGACTTGATAAAAGTGCCTGAAGGACAGAAGGGGGAAGGGAACTATGAGGAGAAAACGCCAAACCATTACGACTATATAGCCCTTGGAAGGGGTCAGGATAAGGATTTGAGATGGGATGGGGGGGGGACGGAATGGTGTCCAACCACAACTGGTCGGGGATTGAACGTAAACCTGCATGAAGCGAGACCGTCGCTCTATCGTCTAGCCCAAGTGGCTGGGCTCCTGAAGGACCGAAGCGTTGTCTTTTCCATTTGTATATGTGGATTTGAATATTTGTGCTCGGCTACCTTATTGTGACTTATTCTCCGCATTCACAAAGTGTCTCCTGAATAATTGTTCTTTCTTATTGTACAAAGAGGACGTCTTACACTATAATATGCTTTGATTATTCATTTTGTTTTTGGTCCTTAGGAAGTTTACTACTTACGATTCTTGCTTACAGGCTAACATCTCTCCACTCCCATAGGCCATATTAAGCCTCCCCCTAAAAGTTTTCCCTGGAACACGCCTCACCAATCGGTTTTCAACCAGGTCTCCAATTACTGCTAGGGATACAGGGGCGAACACAGCTGTAGGTATACCAAATGTGGGTAATTAGACGGCCGGCTATTTTGAAATTCCTTGAAATACTCACACTCTTCAACACGACTATTCTTGAGGTGGAAATATTTTTGTTGTAGTAGAGGGGCGTAGAATGTGCCGTGGTGGAGGTTGTGGTGGAGGGCGAGGTAGAGGGCGTGGACAGTGTTGCGGAGACTGTGGTGGAGGAGCACGGCCCTCACCCCCGCCCTCACACCTATGGCTATCACCACCGTCTCCGGCAGCCGCCACAGTCCAGACATCTCCACCAACCTTAGAATTTAAACCTTACTTTTAATGTCTTCAATTGTCCTGCATGGTATTATTATTATTATTATTATTATTATTATTATCATTATTACAAGCTGTACCCGGCCACGCGTTGCTGTGGCTCAGCATGCTGAGCCACAGCAACCTTCCCCTGTCTCCCAGTCCTCCACACCATTCCCTATGCCCCGTCCCCTCATCCTCCCAACCATTCCTCACTCACTCGTTCCCTCGTCCTTTCCACTAACCCCCACTCCTCTGTCACCTTCTCTTCCCCACCATTCTGTGGGATATCTGGGGCTTGACTCATATATTCAATTATTTACTTATTGGATTTAATAAATCGAAGGACCACCCACTTTTGAGAAAAGAGGGAAAACTAATAGAAGTGATCATTAGAATAACACTAGAGAACCAGTGTCTATGGATAATCATTAAAAGAATAATCACTTGAAATAATGAATGGACTGTATTATTAATTAATTAAAGTCAGAGCCTCAAAGACCTACATTGGGGGGTATTTCTAGAAATTCATATATATCTAGGAACCAGTGTGGTTCGCCACCAGTTCATTGTTGAGTAAATGATATAATAAATCTAAACTACTATAGATTCAAATTATGAGAACTCAAATTGTGAATATTAAAGATCATGAATTACTGAGCAACAGTCAGAGCAAAACACATTAATTACCAATCATCATTTCTGGTAATAATCTATTCAATGCAAAGATTCTACAGGAATTATATAAGAATCAATAATCATATTAAATAAATTTGTACGAAAAAATGTCTTAGCTTTAAGACGATTTCTGTAACATCATTTCGTCATTCGTCCTCGTGGTCACAGGATCTCCACAAAGAAAGAACTCGAGGTGAATATCACGAATGATGAGAAATAACTTGATGACTCCTCGCATACACGCTGAAATCAGAGAAATTTAAGTTGCGCTTTTTATAGGCTACGTTTTATTTTCAATATTCATGAAAAACGGAGGAAATTGTCGAAATTTTACTAACGTTGTATATTGGGTATCCTCGCTATATGACGACAGACTACTCACAAATATATAATCTAGGATGATGCATCAAACGAGAAACATATACTTAACATGAGCGTATTAAATACTGAGGTCTGCCGAAACCGCGTCAGCCAGTCCCTGACGTCCACTGCTGTGTACGTGTAATTACGGGTCTTGGCTTCAATTGTTGACGCGTTATTAACTGGCTGGGCACTATAGAACACGTGGATAAGTAATTATTAACTGTTGACCGAGTATCAACGTAATTCTTGCCGATAAATTCCCCAGTCACTACCACGTGTCTCGCCACTCTTCACGCCAGGGATGCCTTCTCTCGCACAATGGCGTCGCCGCCTCCCTCAACCCGTCTCTCGCATTCACCACAGAAATTATTAATCACGAATAATTCTTTTCCTCGCAATTATGGATGTAATACGTTAATGAGAACTGGGTTGCAATTATAGGGATTTAAATATTATCATATTCTCGTTTTATGGTGTTAAACGAGAAATGGAGAAGATTTTATTTTCTCCATGACATTCGTACGTAACAGAAAAGACTGCTACTACATAACAATTTTAGTTAATAACTCTCGGTTTGAGATTATTGGGAGTTATATTATCCGTAAGTAATTATTACACGGAATACTGATAATTTTAGAGAACCACATTCAATTCTCTAACCCATTGGTAATAAATGTGTCTAACTGGACATTATCTGACGCAATGTTGCTACTCGATTTCATGAGAATTCTAGCATTAATACGCAGATGCAATGGTTAATTTATGTTGACACTACTGTTAGTGAAATTAGTAACAACTGTAGTTAAAATATAATGATTTATTATAATACAATAGTAGTTTATTAGTGTTGGAAATTTCCAACATGCAACAGATGGCACTGTTTTTCAAAAAAGCATGTTTTTACATGTGACAGGTGTGGCATCTACATAGTCGGTATAAAAACACATGCGTGTATTCGAATTGAAAGTTGTATCAAAATTTCAAAGCAATCGATGAAGAACTTTCGGAGATTTTAGCATGTGTTGCTCTTACGTCCAACAGTTGGCGCTGCTTTAAAAAAAAAAGACACGATTTTTCCTGTCACAGGTGGGGCATGCATATAGGAAGTATATAAAAACATGCGCCTATTCGAATGCAACATTGTGTCAAAATTTCAAAGCAATCGGTAAATAGATTTCGAAGATTTCCCTCCCATGAAAAACATGAAAAAATACAGTTATTCAAAAAAAGGATGTTTTTTTCCCGTCACAGACATGACATCTACACAATATTAATATAAAAACTTGTTCGGATGCGATTGGAACATTGTGTGAAAATTTCAAATCAATCGGGGAAGAACTTTCTGAGATTAGCGATATTGAACAAACGAACATTTACATTTTTATATATATAGATATATATATATGCCAGCAGTACCCGGTCGCGAGTTGGCCGGGTACTGCTAGTATATATTCCTGTCCCCTGGAACCTTCCCTGTCCCCCAGTCCCCCAGTCCCCCTCCCCTCACCCGTCTCCTCGGCCTCCCCACAATCCCAAACTCCCCCGTCCCCTCGTTCATCTCCACCATTACCCCCTCCCTTGTCCCTTCGTCCTCCCCACCTTTTCTCGCTTCCGTGCCCTCGTCATCCCTACCATTCGTCACTACCTCGTCCGATGCCTTCCCAAATGGTCTGATGTTCCAATCAGAAAATTGGGAACATCAAGTGAT